AACCACTGCTTTAAAGGTGTGTGTGTGTGTGTGTGTGTGTGTGTGTGTGTGTGTGTGTGTGTGTGTGTACACACACTCTCTCATGGGTAACCCAGTGGCACATTTCATTGCCAAGCCAGAAGACAAACAGTTTATTTCCAGCCTATGGGTTGCTACTCCCCAGGTAACTGACAAGGAAGCTGCCAATGAGCAGCACTGCATTAGCAGATGGGAGCTGGGGACCAGCTGCTTTCAGGGATGAGGAGTAGGTGGCAAGAAATGACAAATATTAAAGGAATCTAAATGCTGAATATTCAAAATGTCCACCTTTTGGGGGTTGAGTTCCTTCATGGGCTGGGTTCCAGCAGCTCCCTGGTAACTCTGTGGGGCAGCGTAATAGAGAGAACCGGCTCCTCCCTGTGAGACCAGATGGTGTAGAAGTTTCGACCCCCCCCCCCCCTCCACCTGCTCCCAAGAGCAGACAGCTGCAAAACAGGCTGCTGTCCCTTTAAGCCCTGCAGGGCGCTTGCAGCGTCTGGCTGCCATCCTTCCTCCCTCATGCGCTGGAGCATGGTGCTCTTGGCAGCCAGCTAGAGACCATGGGGTGGGTGGGTGTGATGATTTCACAGCCTTGCAGCTTCTTGACTGTTCCTTCTGTGCGTGGCAGAGGGAAAGTCATTTGTAAAATTTGCCTCTTTTAAAAATAAGAGTGAAATGATATGACTAACCCTCCTTCCTCTCTGAATAATCCGTGTCTGGGAACTGCTCGCAGGAGTCTCTGGGATCGGGGTCAGGTTTAGGGGCATGGATGCAGGCACTCACTCAGTCTGTCGTTGGAGCGTGTTGTGCTGTGTGCGCGTGAGGCATTGGCTAGGTGCCAAGTACAGACTGGGCAGTCCCTGAGTGGGGTGGGGGAGGGAGCCTGTGTATTCTGCCTACTAAGGTTTGGGTTTTGGGGGGAATGTAAAGTCCTGTTCTCAATCTTGGTGTTTCTCTCTCGCCCTTCTCAGGAGAACCACTCGCCAGGACTGAGGGGGATAAAAAGAAGTTAAGGGACATTCAGGAGGAGCAAATCGATTTTTAACAGGATCACGTCTGAATTAAATGGCTGATAAACAGATCAGGTAAAAAGTTTTGCTGTTCCTTTTGTTAGGAGTAACTGTTGGGCCAGAGAATCTCACCCGATGTACAAGAGGTTAGACTAGATGATCTGATGATCCCTTCCGGCCTCTAAAATCTGTGACCCTCTCTTTTTCCCCACTCCGGTGACAGGGTTCAGGGTGCAATCCAGACCAGTGAGGGGCTGTGTCACCACTTTCCCTGCAACCTTGGGTGCCTCACAATGCTTTGCTGCTGTAGCTCCCAACCTGGGATGCTCTCAACAAGCCTAAAAGCATGCAGGTCACGCCCTGAGTGTCTGTGTGCTAGATACCCCTGGTTCAGCAGCTCTAACCCACGTAGCCTGTCTACAGCCCCACGGTCCCACTCTGGCTTCCACCAGCCTTGGTTCCTAGAACCACAGGGTTAGATGGGGCCTCAAGGGTCATCTAGTGTAATCCCCTGCCAAGGTGCAGGATTTGTTGTGTCTAAACCATCCAAGACAGATGGCTGTCCAGCCTCCTTTTGAAAACCGGAGGTTGCGGAAGCTCCTTCACTGGTGGAGGCGTCTGTTCCATTGCCCTGCTGTTCTTACAGTTAGGAAGTTTTTTCTGAGATTTAATCTAAATCTGCTATGCAGTAGTTTGAACCCATTGCCTCTTCTCCTGCCTTCCGTGGCAAGAGAAAACAACTTTTCTCCGTCTTTTTTTTTTTTTCCCACATATCTGAAGACTGCTGTCATATTTTCCTCCTCCCCCCCCCGCCAATCTTTTTCCAAAATAAACATACCCATGTTTATGTTGCCTTTGCTCATAGCTTGCCTTTCATCCCTTTGATCATCTTTGTCGCTCGCCTCTGGATTTTTTCCAGTTTCTCTACATCCTTTCTATCAATTGGTGACCAAAATTGGACACTGTGCTCCAGCTGAGGCCTAACCAGCACCGAGTAGAGCAGTACCTTCACCTCCCGTGACTTGCATGCTATGCCTCTCTTAATGCAACCTAAAATTACTGCTTGTAGGGTGACCCCAACACACTCCTTCATCCCAAATTTTCCCCAAACCATGTCCTCTCCTGGACAGTTCAGAGGAAGACACACAAGTACATCACAGCTTATTAATTTAACTGGGGTAAATACACCATTCCCTTAAAACACAGCACTGAGCTGGTTGATAGTAAAAATATAAACAAATTTATTAACTATGAAACCTAGATGAAGTGATGCCAAGTAAAAGGAATAAAATTTAGAAATGGTTACATGCAAATAAAAGTGAAAACACGTCAAAAATGTAATTTACCAAGATACAGGCTTTGTTCAAGATGGTGTCTACCTTCAATCATTTTCCAGAGACTTGGACCCAGCCTTGGCTGAAGGACCCATCTATCTCAGCGTGCCAGAGCTCTGCTTCCTTGTCTGTCTAGTGATGAAGCCAAAGATGGCTTCAGTCTCTCTGCTTATCTCTTCCAGAGTTCAGTGACTTTTTCATGAGGCAGGCTGACCTTATGCTGTTCTTCCCTTCCTGTGGCCTTCCCACCCCCTCTATGTAAATAGAACTTCCATTGTTTTGATTCCACCATGCTTGATTTACATAGGAGACAGGTAATAGCTGTGGTGTTCCCTCCTGCCTAGGAGGGAACCCACTTCTTCCTTTGTTTGGACAGTCTCTAAAACATAGTATCGTTAGGTATCCATATTTCCTCATGTAGTGTTAGTACATACTTCTCAGAATGCTCGTAATCACCAGTGTGTCTGTCATTCACTATCAGAACAGACCTAACTCTAGGCATACAATATTACTGTAGTATAAAAGTGCAATCCGTTGATTCAGTTGCTTATCACTTGAGGTTCAGCCCCCCTGTCTTTATAGACCAGTAAACCTTGGCAATGGATTCTTCTGAAGGTTCTCTCCAAAGTAAAGTTTATTCAAGCTGTCTGGTGGTGAAGGAAGCTCCATGCTTTTTCTCTCTCCCCCCCACCCCCCACTTATTAGCTCAAATGCAAATTGTTCGGTTTCCTGCCATTTCCTCCCCCTGCTGCCTTGATGGTCCTGTTTACTGCGTATGTGTCAATTGAGGTAAATAGACATTCCTTTGTTCCCTCTGCCATACCTGGTTTACACACATTCAGTCATTATTGCAGCATATAGTCATAACTCTTAGTACACATCACGTACATACATCACTCAATATTATATGATCAGCGAGTTGTTAGTTTTCAACTGATACCTCACAAGGCATATTTTGTACAAAGATTATCACAGCAGTTTATAGCGTGTGAATACAGGAGTGCTTGGTGGCACAACTCCCCTCTCTCCTTTTCTCCTTTCTTGTGTCCTTCTATTGTCTTTTCCTTTCATCCTGCCCTACACCCCCCACTTCCTGTTTTATCTGTCCACCCGCCAGCCCCCAATTCATTCCTCCTTTTTAGCTCCCCTCTCCTTTCGAAGGCCAGTTCCGCAGCTGGTTTCAATCGGGGTCATTCTGACTTCAATACACTAATGTCAAAGGAGCTATGCTGACAGGCACCAGCTGAGGATCTGGCACTTTCTATTTTGGAACAATACACAGCAGTGACCTAGCTTTCTCTTCCTAAAGCCTAGTCTGGCCATCTAACCGTAGGCTCCTTGGTATCCAAGCACTGATGCTACCAGGTTTCAAACAACTAGATGATGTGAGGACACAGCAGGCAGCTTGCAGACTTTGCTCCTGGCTTGTCCCAGAGCTATATTTGTGTCCTTTAGGCGGGTAAATCTGGAATATGCTTCTGATTGTTGTGGATCATGCTGTTGGCCTTCCAGAAACCATGATGGCTGGCCCAGCATGGTCCCAAGGGTGAGTGTAGCTTTCTGTTAGTGTGTGCGGGGTTTACACTTGCTGTTCATAAAGCTTTTCCTGAAGAAAGGTGACTGTTGTCTGGCTCCAGAACTTCACTGTAGTCCCATTGTCAGTGCCCCTTTGCTAACACCTGACCTCCCAAGACCTGCATTGTCTCCCAAGAGCACCTTTGAACAGAGTGGGAGGGCTAGCCTGGGTCAGAGAATGGTGTTATCTTGATTTGGTTGTGTTTGATGGTGCCCTTACTGGGACTTGTCAGGATTGGGCTATTTTTCTGCAAGGCATAGACAGCTGATGGAAGAGTCCCAGGCGGAGCAGACAGCAGCAAGAAAACATCATTGCTTGTTTAACCCCGAGCAGTGTGTCTCGTCCATTAACTGATTTCAGGAGCTCTACAGTGTTTGTGTGTATTCTTTCCTTAGTCTGAATTGCAAGCCCAGATTAATCTCTGCTAGGCCACATGGCTGTACGTGCCTGAGAGCCCCAATGGAGTGAATCACATGTCAGCAGCTGCGGACTTCAGCCTTGGCTCCAGCTGACCAGGCTGGAGGTGGCTATGCAGGACACTGGAATTCTGTGGCAGAGTGGAATACTCCTCTGCATGCTGTCACCCAGCACGTCTTCTCAGCCCACCGCTCTGTCCGTGGCAGTGCTGGCACATGGAGCACAGAACGATGAGGAACTTCTCCCAACTCTCCCATATCCCAATCCTGTATTTTAATCCCTAGGGGGTGACGAGTCTGTTCCCACGTCTGTGATCCACTTGCTGTATAAACTTGTGCAATTATTTAATCTCTGTTTATATTACAGTAGCACTTAGAGTTCCCGAAGGCAGTAAGGGCTGTGCATACACACGGTAAGAGATGGTACCTGCCCAGAAGAGTTTACAGCCTAAGTAGACAAGACCGAGAGAGGGTGGGAGGAAGTTAGTAGTAGTAGTAGTAGTATCACTATTTTACAGACTGGGAACTAAGTCAAAGAAATGTTGAGTGACTTGCTCAAGATCACACAGGAAAATCTGTGGCAGAGCTGGGAATTGAACCTGGATCACCTTAGTTCCACTGCCTTAACCACAGGTCATCCTGCCTCGCTGTGCCTCAGTTTCCCCATCTGTAAATTGGAGGATAATACCCACCTAACATAGGTGCTGTGAAGCTAGATCCATTTGTGTGTGTAAAGTACTTTGTGAGACTCATCCCGGAGATGCTAGAGAATTATTATTTAACATAAGAGCGGCCATACTGGGTCAGACTAAAGGTCCATCCAGCCCAGTATCCTGTCTGCCGACAGTAGCCAATGACAGGTGCCCCGGAGGGAATGAACAGAATAAGTAATCAAGTGATCCATCTACTGTCTCCCATTCCCAGCCTCTGGTAAACAGAGGCTAGGGACGTTGTTCTGGCTAATAGCCGTTGATGGACCTATCCTCCATGAACTTATCTAGTTCTTTTTTTGAACTATTTTGACCATGCGAGTCTGTGTGCATGTTCTCCTCTTCTAGGTGATGAGCCCGGAGGAACCGGAATAGTTGAATAGGTGTATTGAGCAATGCTTTCCTGCCCTCAAATAACAGGGGTGGGGAGAAGCTTCTCACAGCCGTCACTTGCAAATTGCACATGGCCTCACACTCTGCGTGTGTCAGCATGCCCAAGCCTTCTAGTTTGTCCTCTTATGTTTATGTGGTGGTGCTGGGGTCCACACTGAAATGCGTGAGGTGGTCCTGCCTCGTGCCTAGTATTCTACTGTATACAATGCTAGCTATGGGGCTGGGTTCCTCACTCCCACTTGGTTTCTTCTTAGCGATAATTTCTCCTTATTGCTTCAGATTGCCAGAGTTAGGATTGGGGCTGTCCCAGTTCCCAGCTTGACTCTCCTCGGGATTGTGATTTACCAGCAGATGCTTTGAAATCACATTTAGGTGTCAGGCTCCCATCCTGCATTAGCTGCATGAACAGATCCAGGCAATAATGTCCTTTGCATCAGCTGAGCTCAGTTCACCTGGCTTTAAATGTTCCCTCTTTTTCCTTTCACTGGTGTCTTGGCCTTGCTTCACTAATGCTATGCCCTGTAATGGTGACCTGTCTAAGGTACTATATTTTCTCTAGCCTCATTCCCTCAGGGTGGGTCCTACTGAAAGAGTCATGTGTGAGGGCCCTGAGAACTAGTGTTGAGAAGATGCTAATATAGTTATTGGAAACAGGGTGCTAGAGCTTTTAAAGGGGCCTCTGCTTTGTGGATGCATTTTTATTATATATATATTTTTTTGTGGGGGGGTCGGGCGGAGGGTGCACATGTTGGAAATTGTAGATGCAAGATGTTCAGTTTCCTTTGTGACTCTGCAAATGGGAGAGTTAAAATGCCGAACTATTGATTTTCTGTTTGCACTTCTGATTTATTGTAGAGGCAATAGGAGAGTACATGTAAACGCAGAATGCGGGCTGAAGTTCAGCTGAAAATCTGGCGCCAAGAGAGCAGCTCTGCTCTGCAACGTTGAGTGCCCTTCCAGAATGGCACTGTATTGTCCCGTACAAAAAGCGCCAAGAAATGGTTCAGGTTCACCCGTCTGATCTATGGGGTGAAAGGTAGGAGAGGCAGGGCCTCGAGGGCATCTAACCCTTATTTTTCCCCCCTCACCACAGCCCTAGGATTTTATATAGGCGTCTGACTCTTCCTGTTGGGACACCTCTCTTGTCGCATGCACCTTTCCAGCCCTGGATCCCTCCCTGGGATTTTAGCTTTGCAAAAGTTAGAGTCTCTGTGCGTGTATAGAAAGCCAAGGTTACTTCCTTCTATACGCTGCTCTGAGGCCTTTTCCATGAGGTCCCCCCAACACACATAAATACATACTGTCTTTCATGCCCTGGGCCTTCTTACTCTCAGAGGGTTTCCATCAGGCCTATAGCAGAGAGGCAGACCTTCCAGAATACCTGTAGCTGGACAGCTTCTGAAGCCTGGTCTCTGTCTGGCAGTCTTCATCCATTATTGAGCCCTCTGGAATGCCTCTGAGCTGCGGAGGAGTTAATAGGCCTTCCTGCTCCCCTTGCTTCACTCCAGCAACTTATCCCTGCCACTTCCTCAGTTCAAAGCAGTGCACCACTGATGGCCCTGCCTGCTGGCATCCTGTGTGCAATGTCCATTATTCTTCAGAAGGGAGAGGCCTCTGAGGCAGCCACGCGGGATCAGCTGTTTCTCAGTCTGTTTAGCTGTGATCAGGAGTGCTTATCAGTCATCAGTTTAATAGCTGATCTATCCTCTGTTCAAGGGTCTGTATCTTGCCCTTTGCTGGACGGAATGCCTTTGAAGGATCTCATAGGCATCCTCTGTCTCTGACATCAGTGATTCATTAGGTTTTTAAATGTCAGATGTTCCAAGTAATTGAAAGAGTGCTGGACCCTCGCTAAGCAGGGTGGTAGATCGGCTTTAAAACTGAGGTGCATGTAGGTAGCAGGGAGAGCGGCTTAGAAATTAAAAAAAAAGGGAGGTGGAAAAGCTCAACTCAGACCCCCTGCACAATACAGCCTGCTTTTGTCTGTTTTCTTTGCTATGTGTAATCTCACTCCTCCATATCCACATGCACTCAGCTTAACCTCTGTCTATGTGGCTCCACTGACGGTTGTGTATATCAGAAATTTAATTCCTCACATGCACAGAGTCTTCTCTGATCACAGGTCCAGGTGCAGTGTTTGAAATGTCTTACTGGTTCTGAAAGTATGTAGGGCTAGCCTGCCAACAAAGCTCCTTTGCACTGGTCTTTCCACATGATGTTAGCAGCTGTGGTGTCATGAACCACTAGTTAGGTGCATGTCTGATGCCAACTTTCCTCTGCGGTTGTAAAACATTCATTACTAACCATCAGGATTAGAAAGACCTCAGATCCCTTAAATGAGGTCAGTCTACACTGACCTCCTTGGTCTAGCAGGGCATTGGCTCTTGAGTGACTATAGAAAGCTTTGCACCCTGAACTGGTGTAACTTTCACGCCCCGTGTTTCTATTAGTGGGCCTGGGCAAATATTTCACTGAATCCTGGGCCAGAACAGGTGGATTTCCCCAAATCTGGGCTCATGGCTTATTTTCTGGCATCTGTCTGGAAAAGTGGGGCATGTTTCTGCTTATCTGGCAAAGGCTTTACCTCACTCAGCCCCTTTCTGGTTTCTGAATGAATCCCAAACCCCCTGAAGCCACAGCTCAGTGGGGAGTATTGTATCGCTCAGCAGTGCCACCTGCTGGCTGGTCAGGAGTAACAAGAACCAAACCCAGATGGGAGCTTTGCTCGACCTTCTGGGCTGGAGGACAGAAGTGATGAGCACTCAGTGCACAGAGAAGGCAAAGAGGAAAGGCACAGATTCTAGTCCTACCTCCTCCCATCTACTGGTGGGTTCTAGATTTCATGACTAGGTTCCCCAAGTCTACGACAAGAGGTCACACAAGGGGGCCAGCGTCGGACAGAGCTATGTATAATGTTTGTTATTTGTATTACAGTAGCATCTAGAGGCCTTAGCAGAGATCAGGGCCACATTGTTCTAGGAGCTGCACATACACACGTATGGGGCAAGACAGTCTAAACAAACAAGAGGGATGAAGAGTAGGAAGCGGGGATGATAATCCTTCCTGTTGTGCCTCAGTTCCCCATCTGTCAGAGATTAAATGACTCGGCCAGGGTCATACAAGGAGTATGTAGCAGAGCAGGGTAGCAAATCCAGATCTCCAAAATCCCACTCTGGGCCTCACCCACAAAGCCAGCCTTCCCCTGTGGAGCTGGAAGGATCCCAATACTGTACTGCAGGAAGTGGTCACAATAAGACTGCTGAAAATGCCTTAAACTATCCCCCTCATTCTTTCTTAGTGGCTAGAGCATGGCAACGTGCCTTGTGTGTGGGACCTGGGCACTCTTGATTCAGTGTTTTGAGCTTGGATTCTGTGCCTCAGTTTCCCCATCTGTAAAATGAGACTAATTATACCCCCAGCAGAGTACTTTGAGTGTTAGATGGAAAGTGCCAAGTGCAACATTTGCTTGTGGGAAGCTTGGTTTATTTCAGCTCATAGCACTCCTGTTGAAGGTCGTGGTTCTGTCTTCCTCTTTCCCTTTTGATATCTTGTTGCCAATGCATCTGCTTTTTTTTTTTCTCTCTCTCCTTCTCCCCTTCCTCCCCCCCCCGCCCCTTGCAGTTTACCTGCCAAGCTGATCAATGGAGGGATAGCTGGGCTGATTGGAGTCACCTGTGTATTTCCCATTGACTTGGCGAAAACTCGCCTGCAGAACCAGCAAAATGGCCAGCGGATGTACACCAGCATGTAAGTACTGCCTCGCCCAAACTGGCTCAGCTGGGACCTCCTGATCTGGCTGGGTGGGATTCTCAACTTTCCCTCCCTCCAACACACACTTATGGTGACATCAGCATTTCTAGAAGTTTAACTCTCCTAAAATCAGCCATCAAAAGGAGTTGTATTTAAATTTATT